GAGTCGCGGCTCTGCGCCCAGGCGCGATGCGACTCTTGCCCGCTTTCGGCAGACTCGCTCGCGCGTTGCAGATAACGTCCAACCCCCACTGTCGCTGGTGCTGCCCCTCAACGGAGGATAACGACGCACCCCAACCCCCTCTGGAACCCCCACCAAACGTGCGCACTGTGCCCGCCCGCCGGATGATGCGCGGCAGACCGACACCCCCCTGCCCCGTATGCTGCAGGGTGTTCGTATCTATTGCAAACATGAAGCTGCACGCCCGTCGCGTTCACGCAGGAGTTCCGCTTCTCCAGGAGGGCCTCCAGTGCGGCTACTGCGGGAGCGGCAAACTATTCTTGACGAGTGCCTCGCGCGCGGGTCATTACCGTAAATGCCAGGCGTACCAGCTGGCAAAAAGCGCGCGGGGCACAGTTGCGGAAGGCCCGGAGGACCCTCACCCTTATGGGATCCTCACGGCACAGAACCCACAGGCTGATGTGACCCCGGGAGACCTTGTCGCATCTGATGTGGGAGTGCCCCCGTCTCCGTCGGCTGAGCGTGCGGGCGTTTATTGGGAGGTCTCTCAAAGGACATGGAAGGTGGGACAGGAAAAAGGTGACAAGAGTGGGGTTCGAACCCACGCCTACGAATAGAAGAGAACTTGAGTCTCCCGCCTTAGACCACTCGGCCATCTTGCCATTGAGCGCGGACCGAGGTCGCCCATATGTTTATGGGGTGGATAAAAGAACGAAAAGTCGTCACCAGCAGGATTCGAACCTGCGCGCGAGATCGCAACTGATTTCGAGTCAGTCCCCTTAACCACTTGGGTATGGTGACTTCGGCATGCGCACGACGGTGAAAGATTGGTGTTGAAATTCTCTCTGTCGCGAAAAAAAAAAGAGAAACAAAAAAAAGTGAAAGAAGAGGCAGAAGTGGCGGCCACGCAGGGAGGCAATCGTGTCCGAAAAAGCGAGGATATAAGAAAAAAAAAAGAATCGCCAGGAGGAAAAACACCGAAAAGTAAACAGGCGGGGCACAGCTTCTATTCTTCGGCGATTTCCCCCTCCTTCGGGGCGGGGGGCCGCCGGGTGGCTCTAAAACGCCATGCCTTTCAGGGCGCCGGCCTCCGCCCGCAGCCCCTGGTGCCGCTCGTTCATGTCGTCCACCTTCTCGAGCTCCTTCCCCACCAGGCTGCCGAGGACGTCCGCCTCCCGGGCCTTTTGCTGCAAGAGAATTCGAAGTTTCTTGTACTCCACGTCGGCCTGGCAGCTCACGCGGTGGAGGCGCGCCGCGACCTCGGCCTGCTCGTGCTGCAGCTGCGCGACCTCAGCCGAGAGCGTCTCCACGTGTTGTTTGGCGCGCTGGAGGTTTCTCGCGGCCCACTCTCGCGTGGACTCCATCTCCTCCATTATGGCGGCGTGGTCGCGTCGTCGCTCTTCCCCGAGCGCCTCCAGGGCACCGGCAACCGCGTCCACCCGCGGCCGCAGGGAGTCCAGCGCCCCGGTCACCTGCAGCATGGCCGTCTCCAGAGGAGCAAGGCGGGTCGACTCCGTGGTGGTCGTGGCCGCCTCAATCTTCCGTACGGCCTGCTCCAAGCGAGACTGCTGCTCGCATAGTTGGTTCCGAAGAGCCTCTTGTGACGCGGCAGAGGCGGACATTTCCCTTTGCACAGTCGCCGCGTTCTGCTCCACGTCGTGCCGAAGGGCCTTGGCAGCGTCTTCAAAGTCTAGTCTTAGTTGGCGAAGCTGTTCCTCACGCTCTTTACGGGACTTTCCTGTTTCATTCATGCATTCTTGTTGCGCCTCTGCCACTCTATCTCGTATCGCGGATGGGACCTGCTCCCGCAACGCGGCAAGTTCATCCTGCAGTCGGGTTGTAAATTGTTCCTGCCGTTTCAACCGGGAACGGAGTTCGTGTTGCTGGCGCCGAAGTTCGCCCTCCTTGTCCTCCTGGAGACCTTGCGCCAGTTTCACCAACTTGGTCAGATTCACCATTTTCTCGTCGAACGCGTCGACGCGGGTGGTAAGTCCGTCTATGCGATCCACCAGCTGCTGTACCGAAAAGGCCCCCTTCAGTACACGCTCCACGCCCTGCTCCGCGGCCGCCTCCGCCACCACCGGCCCTGCGGACGCGTGCGGCCCGGAGTTCTCATTGCGCCTCTGCCGCAAATAGATGTCTGTGTAGTCCATTCTTGCGGCGCGGCGAAGCAGGATCCACCCAGACTCCACTTTTTTTTTTGTTTGACTGCCTGCGTTCCCCTTACCTCCACGCACTTCACCCCGTCCAACGGCGGGGAGCAAGGCGTCAA